AGAAAGACTATCCGCACCCAACACTCGACGACGAACCTCGTCATTGCTCACCCGATGTTTCCACCAGACAAGAGACATCGGAGACATCGGTGGACAAACACAGAAAGTCGATTAGCATCCTCCACTCGGAGGGGCCAGGTCTCGCAACCGTAAAGCAGAACACTACGAACTGCGGCGATGTACACCCTTCCCCTAAGGGACAGTCGGATGTCATGGCGACGCCACAGGTGTCGCAGGTTGGCGAAAGTTGCTCTAGCTATTCGCTATTTGTGATGTGATCTCCTCCACACCAGCTGCGATCAAGCTCCCGAGGTACTTAAAGCTCTGGACTACTTCTAACTGATCACCACAGAGGGTGAGTGCAGGCACAGGCTCATGCCAGTCTTGAACAAGTAGTTTGCACTTTGAAGGTGCAAAGCACATGCCATACCTAGACACCATGATAGCCAAGCGGTTCAAAGCTTGTTGGACTGCCTGTGTGTTGTTACCCAGCAAGGCGATGTCATCGGCATATTCCATATCGAGAACTCTGTTCCCTTGGATGAGTTCGATTCGACCGTTTGCTAGACCGGACAAAGCACTCTGTAGTACATCCTCTGTGGCGAAGTTGAAAAGAAATAGAGGTATAGGGCAGTCTTGCCGAACTCCACTGGAGACGGAGAAGGGTGGCTAAATTTGGCCGGAGGCCCTAACCCGACCTGAGGTACAACGATACAACTCTTTGAGGATCGACACACACTTCTCTAATACTCCATTCCTCAACAAATAGCTCCATAGTGGGGTCCCATCGAGGCCGAGTCAAAGGCCGCAAGGATGTCTAGGAATACAATGATCGTTGGTCTTTGGTAGGCATGACAGTACTCTAGCAGCTGTCGGAGGGTGAGGATTTGATCGATGCATCCCAAACTGGTACAAAATCCAGCCTGCTCCTCGAACGGACGCCAACAGCTTTGACGATATCGGGATTAGGCTTATGTCCCTATGATTGGCGCAGTCACTGCGCGGGCCCTTTTTGAAGATGGGGACAACAATGGTTTCCCCCCACGAGGAGGGGACTTGCTCAGTGTTCCAAACTTTAGAGAACGGAACTAGCTTTGCAGCTAGTGCGTTTTGGGATAAAGTTAGACAAGTTGGTTTGAACAGCTTATCGCAGTCTAACCGTCGTTGTGTCGTGCGTTTGAGACCCCCACCGAAGCACATGGACAGCTTAGCGTATACTAATGCGTGGTCGGATTCGAGAGGATTGCTCCAGTGCGATCGGCAGTCTTGAATGATGCCCCGCCATTTGTGGCTTATCGCGATGTAGTCGATCTGTGTCCGTCTCTGACTCGAGGATGGCGGACGCCAAGTGGCATACCGGCAGTTGGAATTTCTGAAGTTCGTACTGGCGAGGAACAGGCTGTGGTTGAAACACAAAGCCAACAGTAGTTCCCGGTTTTCCGAGCGACAAGAATCTATTCCGGAAAGACCTCCCAGGTTCGCCTCACTCGAAGTCGACCGGACTACTCTAGCATTCATATCTCCTGCTAAAATCACGATATCATCTTGGGTCGCTTTACGCAAGAGGTCGTGTAGATTGTGGTAAAATTCATCTGTGACTGCGTCTGGGCTGCAGTCTGTTGGAGCGTACGCCGATTTGACAAACCAGTTTCGTCTATCGTGGCGATGGTTGCTTACTTCGCACGAACCTTTGAGTCTCACTGCGCACAACTTACTGTCGACTGGGATTCAATGCAGGAGGGTGGCCTCAGCTCTTTGACTGAATGCTGCGCCGACGCCAGCAAGACCGGAGGCCGCAGCCTCAGGGTCCCCAGAGAAGCGTAAGTGGAACTTCGCTGATTGATTTGACGGGGACTTCAATCGGATAATGGACCTGGAGTCTTGAATGCGAGTTTCCTTGATGCAACATACATCGATGGCTAGGGTTCAAGCGTACGAGCTGAATACGCCTGTTGTCCTATATGCATCAGAGTACGCACATTAAACGTGGCTAGTTTGAAAGGACATCGAGGGCGGAGAAGGGCTTCAGCTGGTGGAGGATTCGGTGAGACTTGGATGCTANATGCTAGTCGAGGTAGGACAAGAGCGAACAGCAGCAGAATTTCCGCCCAAGGCACTACTGCTAGTACGATCGTCTGAAGTACCCGAGAGAGGTGGAATTGAGTTGGGAGGCTAGAGTTGATGTGGGGGGAGGCTGGGAGAAAAAAGGGTGTGTACGGTGTAGTCTTTCGACTGTTGAAGGTTTAGAGTGCGA